GGTAAAGAGGCATGATGAGGACTGGGGACAGAGAGTCTTTAGCCACTACCCCCATAGTAATAGGTGAAGGTCCCTGGCATGCTATGTAGTCTCCAAAGGAACAGGGATCCCCTCAGCTATAGCCACCACTGTCAGATGGGATTGGCTCAGGCTTTAGGGATGCTTAACCTGGGGTCCCTCTAACCAAGTAAACAGATTTCAAGGAGCTGGTGAAATTAAATGGGAAAAAAAATTACGTCTTTATTTTCATTAACCTATAATTGAAATCGAGCATTTCCTTCAATTATGTTTTTTTTAAAACATGTTATTTGGAGAAGGGGTCCATAGATTTCACTGGACTGACAAAGGGGTCCAGGACACCACAAAGATTAAGAACTTCTGCTCCAGAATGACTAACAGGGCATTTGCCTTTGTGGGCTCAGATTTCAGTAACCAGGACTTCTCTGACCCTGAGTCCCATCGTCCCTAGTGGAAGATGGATTTGTTAAAAGGGTTCTTAGTGTAGGAACCCAGTTGGATGTGGGCCCTTTGCTCAGAGGAGAAAGTGAGGATGGAGAGGGTTTGGGTATCAGCATTCCCCAATTCTTCCCTTACCCCTCACTTCAATTCACCTAGCATCCTTGGGGTCCTGGCCCCCATCCCTCCTCCTCATAGGAATGTGGACCCACCAGTCTGGTATGACACCGACGTGAAGCTGTTTGAGATCCAGCGGGTGTGAGCAGAGGAGAGTGAAGGAGAGGAGAAGACGGAAGGGATTTGAGTGGTTGGGTGCCTAGGTGATCCCCGGACCCCTCACAGCTGCCTGCCTCTGATTCTTCTTCCTTCTGACTGGCATTTCAAGCTTTATTATCATTTTGACCTGAGGAAGGGGGTAGGGAGGCAGTAACTTCCCCAAGAGCTCAGGGATTAGGGGAAATGTGGGGAGCTAGCTGTGCCTTTTCCCCATCCCTGGCTTATGAAGTCCTCCTGGTTCTGGTGGTGGTTATAGAAAACAACAAAGATTGGAAGGTAGAGCCAAGGAAGAGGAAGCTTCCTCTTAGTAGATACCTCTTGGTGTCCCAGGGTCAAATTTCCACCTAATCAATTACTCCCCTTCCATTTCATGTCTGTATTGTAGCCCTGGTTCCCCTGAAGACTTGTTTCTATACCATGCTTTATATGTTCACCTTTTTTCTTTGACCATGCCTTCCAGGTCCTCCCTGCAAGTGGCCCAGAAGAAGGTCTTGGGCCCCTCAGAGAAGTAACTTTAGTCTGGGATCCCCACTATCTGGGTAGTAGGGGGGAAGCTGAGGTGTGAATGCTGGGATGCTCTTTACCTTCCACTACAAAACATTACTCGTTCCATACCCAACATGCCATGGAAGCTGAGCAGCTCATAGGAAGAATTGGGCCAAGGGAGGTTTTTAGGGGTTTTTTTTTTTGAGGGAAGAAGAGGATAACAGTTCCAACCCAGAGTTCAATCCAGTGGACATGGCCTAGGTGACTACCTAATTCCCCATGCCCACATTTTCATATTTGTACAAAGCCCTCTCCCACGGGAATCTTTTTCACAGACCATTCCCCAAAAAGGAATATGACAGGGGAGGAGCAACCCTCCATCCCCATTTTAATTACAGTTTTATGTCAAAGGGTAGAGGAAGACAGTCCAAGATATCCTCCCCCTGCTTCCCCATAGATATCCCAGCTGGCACCCCTGAAACCCTCAGTCCTCAGCTCTGTCCTCCAAAGTTGTTCTTGCAGGTCTTCTCCATCTGTGGCTAACCCCCACTCTCTGCCTGTGTCAGTACAATCTTAACTTTCAAGCACTAGAGATGCACTGTACAATCTGCTACTTTACACAAAATTAAAATCTCCGTTTTCCTGGCTGTGTATGTGTCTGGGGTGAGGGTGGAGGGAGCCTTCTTGGGGGAAGGGAGGCAGTGTCTCCCTTAAATAAGGGCTTGGTTCCACGTTTAAAAGTTCAAGACATTGTCAAGAGGTTTGTATTTGTATGTGTCTAGGGCTGGGGCAGGCTGGTGGTAAAAGCTTCCCTGTTTCTAGCAGTTCCCTGAGACCTTGGACCCTCTGCTAAGTGGCCTGCCCTTCAGGGCCCATGTATGTGAAGGTGAAGCTGGTGTATATACGGTAGTAGAGGAACTAGGTTCTAATCCCAGGTCAGCTACTTATTATCTGTGTGAACTTAGTCAAGTATCTTAAATTATTTGGGCTAGGTTTTTGTTTTTTAATCCTTAAAATGAATGTTATTATGCCAAATCACCTCTCAGATCCCTTTTGTTTCTAAATGCTGTCACCTCACTTAAGTAGGATATGCTTACCTGGCTCTGGTCAGCCAGTTCACTGATGCAACTGAGATACCAGGGAAAATTCTTCCAGTTCTTTTGAGGATCAAATAAGATAGTATATATAAAGCGTTTTGTAGACCCTTAAATTGTGCTGAAGTACAAGTTATCATGCTTAGTGTCTTGCCCAGGGATTCTTACCTTGGAAGACAAACTCTTTTTGTTTTGTTTTATTTTTGTAGGTATTTTGATAACTATTTCCATAGAATTGGTTTTCTTGTAATCTTATGTATTTATTTTATTCATTTAAAGAAATTATTACAAGAAAAGGCAGTGAGGTGGCTCAATGGATAGAGTGTCAGGCCTGTAATCAGGAAGATTCATCTTCCTGAGTTCAAATCTGGCCTCGGACACTTACTAGTTCTGTGACCCTGGGCAAGTCACTTAACCCTGTTTGCTCCAGTTTCTTCATCTGTAAAATGAGCTGGAGAGTGAAATGGTAAACCATTCCTGTATCTTTGCCAAGAAAACCCTAAGTGGGGTAACAAACAGTTGGATGTGACTGAAAAATGACTGAACAACAACACTGCCACCATTCTGAGAAAGGATCTGTAGGCTTCACCAGGCTGCCAGGTCCATGGACACAAATGAGGTTAAGAACCCTTGTCTCAGTTCTGCTCTCTGGGCTACTTCTGGACCCTAATCTCTAAGTTGCAGAGGGTAGCTTAACTGGGTCTCCAGGTGTCTGGTAATCTATCCATAGGCTATGTGGGCAAAAAGAGAGGATGAAATCTTTGAGTATAACCATGTCTGCCCAAAGTCTGAATTCTCCCTTTCGAGGGCAACATAGAAACAGTCCTGTCCTTCTGTTACCCCTGGTCAATTCCAGTGTCAGTCAGACAATAAGCATTTATTAAGCACCCACTATGTGCTAGGCATCATGCTAAATGTATAGAGATGATGAATCCAGATGATGAATCCAATGATCTAGCCAAAGTTACACACACACACACACAGCTGGTAAGTGGCAGAACTGGGATTTGAACCTAAGTCCTTTGGATTCAGCTAGGTGGCGAAGTGAATAGAGTGCTGAGGATGAAGTCAGGAAGATTCATCTTCTTGATTTCAAATCTGGCCTCACTGTTCCTAGTTATGTGACCCTGGGCAGGGCGCTTAACCCTGTTTGCCTCAGTTTCCTCATCTGTAAAATGAGCTGGAGAAGGAAATGGCAAACCACTCCAGTATCCTGGCCAAGAAAACCCCAAATGGGGTCATGAAGAGTCAAACACAACCATAAAATGACTGAACAATGACAACAGATTCTTAACTGACAATGACTCTTTGATTCCGGAGCGGTGTACTTTTCCTTGTTCCAAAGAAAAAGCTATGGCTCCCAGGATTCCAGGTCAACGCCCCAATATCCCACTGCCTCTGCATAGACTCATAGAATGTTAGAGCTTCAGCGAATCTCAGAGCACATAAGATCTAGAACTGGAAAGGACTTCAGAAGCCATTTGTCCAAGGCCTTCATTTTACCAATGAGGAAACCAAAGTCCAGGAAGGTTATGACTTGCCCAAGATCATACAAGCAGTAAGAGAAGGCAGGATTTGAATCCAGGTCCCCTGACCCTAGAACCACACTGGTAATCAAGGAAAATGTCTACAGCACCCAGTATTCTAAGGCTGTCTTTTATCCAAGCACTAGTTGGTTTAGTTCTGCTTAGCTTTTATTTGAGCAGATGAGAATGGGGGCATTCAGGGTCATATGGCCATAGACAAGGGCTTTTTCCCCCATTTGAAAGATGAGGAAATGGAGGCCCTGAGTGGAGAAGAATCCCACAGATATTAAGTGGCAACACCAGAAATGGAACCCAAATCTAACCCTCTTTCTATCACACAGTGCTCTTTCATTCATCATGTTAGCTCATTTAAGCCTGCATTAATAATCTTCCAGTCCATCCTTGTCCTCCTCCTTCCAGCCCCATTCCAGGTGGGGCACCAAGGACCTACAGGGACATGCTGGAGACCTGGCTGTCAGGATGAGAAGAATGCCTGGCTAGGCCTTCCGTCTGCGGCCCCACGGTGATGATTCACTCTGTGTCCAGCCTAATGTTGGGGCTGGGGATTAGGGCTAGATCAAGGTCAAAACAGGTAGAGAGGGTGTTTTCAGGGCCGGCCCTGAAAAGCTACCTGGCTTCTTTTCTCTACCTTTTCTACTTCTTTATCACCCAGTGGAGCGTCCAGGGCTTGCACACAGAGCATAGCCCTATTGTGCACACTCCCAGCTGCTAATCTGGCCCTCTCCAAGGAGAACAGCTGCTCCCCACTTACCTTGGTTTGGGAGTACTTGGTAAGAGGGTGCTTCTGTAAGGTGAGGCTAGCTCCCCACCCCACCCCCAAAAGTGGCTTCCTTCTTATCCTAGGTGTTTCCCTCCAGAGCTAAGTCCATTCTTTTCTGTACCTAGATAACACCAGGGCAAAAAATATTCTCTGGGTGTCTCCCCTCCCCACTACCTAGCACCACTGCAGAAGAGTGGAAGCCCTTTCCTTCATTCCCAAGGCTGAGTGACTGTTTTGCCTCTGAGAACAAATACAATAAAAAGAGCAGGTAATCAATCAAACAAACAGGTTTTATGGCAGCAGGAGAGAGGAGTCCAACATAGCTTGGCAGCTAATTAATGAGCTTGTTAGAGGACAGTGTGTGTGTGTGTGTGTGTGTGTGTGTGTGTGTGTGTGGTATGTGTAGGGCTTGGTGGAAGGGAGGGAGGGGTTGGTGAATGGGTGGAGTGGCCCCCCCTGAAGACGATAGGTTTGCGGCTAACTTAGTTTAGGAAGATGGCCCTGAGCAGTGGTAGGACAAACAGGTGCAGAGGCAGGTATGAGATGGCCTGCTGAGGCATTTGCTGGAAGGGGGTACAACTGTCTTCCCACTCCCCAACCTCTCATACAGACCCCTGGCACAGGCTCCCCAAACTAGCTCTAGGAAGAGCCACTACCATGTACCAGGATTGGACTGCCATCTGTGCCATTTGGGGCTCTCAGGTGATTTAAAAACATAAACATATGTAGCCCCTCCCACTAGCACCCCAGAATAGCATCTGGGGATCTCATCCTTGGCTCTGGAGAAGACAGCAAAGTGTCCCCAAACCTCCAGGTTGATGGTTCCTGGAGGCAGTGAGACTTTGAGGAACCCACTCTAGTTAGTTTCTGCCTCTGCTCGAATGGAGGGATACTTGGATTTCTTGGCTGTGGATGGAGAAGAGGCTTGGGGCAGGTGTCTTCCAGTAGCCTCTGGAACTGTATGGCTTGGGATCAAGGCAGAGGAGAGAAGCCGGAACAGTGCCAGGGCTGACTGGCTGTGGACTGTCTTGAATCAGGCGCCGAGGTAGACTTCTACTAGCCCCCCAACAGAATGCATTCGGTAGAAGACCCCCAGAGGTAGGCCAAAGTTGACAATAGTGAACCAAGTCCTGTAGCCATAGAATTCTTTCTCCAGTCCATTCTCAAACTCAGGGTGTGTGCCAAATGCTGGCATCATCCACATCTAGGGCAAGGGAGGGAAGACATAGGTGACTGGCTGAGAAGGGCCCTTTCTCCTCCCACCAGCTCATAGCTACAATTGAGACAACCCCTCCACCCCCTTTCATTTAGCTAGCTCATTATCCTTGACCCAGCACTTCCTACCTTAACCAAGTGGCTCTATCAGCCCCATCCCAGAGCCCATCAGCTACCCACCGTAATGTTACAGAGGATGAGGAAGATGGAAATTTCCTTAAGAACTCGACGCTTCCAATTGAGGTGGCTGTAGTTGTGGATGTAGGCCAGGGATACCCTCTGCAGGCCCTGGCCCAGCTCCAGCATGGATCCTCGACGAAGGCCTGGTGGGCACTCCTCCCCTAGGCCATCATTCTGGCGCTGGATGGGTGTCTCCCAGAGTGGCTGTCGGTGCAAGCCCTCAATGATGAAGAGGTTTTGGGTGATGTGCTGAATGATGATCAGGATTGAATAGGCCAGGATAAGTCTGTTGAGCAGCTCTTGGACATTGGTGGCCACAATAGCCACGATGGAAAAATAGGAGATACCAATCTGGCCCAGGGCAGCACCCATAAGAAGTACCACATCAAGGCTTCGAGTGGGGTTCTTGACTGTGTCCATTTCCCTCTCTTCCAGTCCATGTATGACCGTACCCATCAGGCACGCCAGAGTCATGACAGGCAGGACAATCACATAAAAAGTATAGTAAAGGGTAAAGTACTGATAACCAATGGAGGGGCCGCTGGCCTGGATCTGGAAGAGGACAAAGACACTGACCCCTGCCACCAGAGCCAGGAAGCCCAACAAGGGACCAAAGATGGCTCCATGGAGGTGGAAGTTGGGCCGGCCAGGACCAGCTATGTGAGGAGACAGCTTTCGGCCCACATTCTTCCACATGACATAGAGGATGGCGCAGCAGATGAGGTTGTATTCGGTGCTGAAGGGGTAGAGCATCAGGTAACCCTTTTGAAAGACTTCACATATAGTTGCATTGAGGCAAAGGCAAGTGTTGGTCTCATTGCCTAGGGAAGGGTGAGACAGAAGATTTGTAAGGTAAAAGTATGCCTGTATGTGAAAAAGTATGGTCATTTTATGAACTCGCAGATGGTCTTTGCTTTAAGAAAACTCGATAGACAATGTGGGAGAAATGCAGAAATTTTGTACAGGCACAGAAATAGTTATGGGGCACATAAAATATGTAGGGGAAGGAAGTCCCCTTCCCCATTTCCATGATGTTATTGACTGGACTGAGCAGTTAATTAACATCACGTCAGCCAGTGACATGGTTTTAATTGGTTGCTGGCTGGTCTGATGCCAACTGACCCCTTTAGCTCTCCAATCACAGGCAAGAGGCCATATTCTCTTGATTCTGTCCCTTTTCCTGATTCAATACAAGAAGAAAGTACCGGGTAATAGTGCAAAGATACAAAGAGTCCATTGCTGTTGTGGAAATACCAGAGCAAAACTAGATACTTCAATAGGACTTCTTTACTGAGCTCCTAAGAGAGGTAGAAGGTTTGGAGGATAGGGGTGAGGAGAAGACTTTTAGCTGGAACTTAGGTGTCTTTAAATATCCCATTTGGGTAGGGGGTATTGCTATGTCTTGGTACATACCACCTCCACTGGGAGGTTATATATGTGGTAAAAATGTTTATCAGAGGATGGTTATTCATATTGCAAAATGATTTAATACAATCTCAAGCTTTTTTTTTTAAAGACATTTAAAACCAGATTGACTTAGAAAAGCTTAGTCTACTGTTTCACCAACACATTGAGGGAAGTATGCATTATTTCCGTATGTACCTTGCTTTAGGACGTTTAGGTGGCACAGTGGATAGAGTGCTGGGTCTGGAGTCAGGAAGACTCATCTTCCTGAGTTCAAATCTGGCCTTAGACAGTTACTAGCTGTGTGACCCTGAGCAAGTCACTTAACCCTGTTTGCCTCAGCTTCCTCATCTGTAAAACGAGCTGGAGAAGGTAAATGGCAAACCACTCCAGTATCTTTGTCAAGAAAATCCCAAATGGGTCATAGAGAGTCGGACATGACTGAAATTGACAAACCTTGCTTTACCTAATCAGTTTATTTGCCCTTGAAAGTGGGCTGTGCAGGTTTGAATGTATGAAGAGTATAAAGCTGATGTAAGCATGTGACCATGTCAAGCAGACTTGAATGTTTGTGTGTTTGTGTGTTAAGTTTCAACTTTGTAGGCTGAACCGATTTCCTGTGGGCTCACCTGATTTGTGAGGCCCCAAATAGATCCACCAAACCTACCAGCTAGGTGTTGAAGTGGGTAAAAGTCAGGTCAGGAAGATCTGAGTTCAAATCTGACCTTAAACACTTATTAGCTAGGTGACCCTGGGCAAATCACACTCGGGCTATTTGCTTCAGCTTCCTCAACTATAAAAGGGGACGATAACAGCACCTACTTTGAAAAGTTGCTGAGAGGATCAAATGAGATAACATTTTTAAAGACCTTTGCACAGTTTTTGGCATGTAGCAGGTGCTATATAAATGCTGATTTCCTTCCCCCCCCAATCTCTCTTCTCCTTCATCTCTCAGACTACTGTTAAAGGTTAATTCATTTCAACCCTAGAGCCTTTTTAGTTTTCAAGAATCTTCTATGACAATGTAAATGCCCCTGGCATGAGATCCTTCTCAGGAAAGAGTCTAGCAGAAATTAACTGGCAGACCATTACTTGGGAGGAAGATAGATGCTGGGAAGGGGAAGGTAGAAGGTGTCAAGGGCTTCAGGGCAGGTGAGTGTCAAAGAGGAAGGAGAAATGTGGGCACTAAAGACAGTTTTCCATGTCTTGTCACGCAGATACAAATACATATATTTATATTTATAATTTATACCAGGGTACTTATATCATGCAGGTATGTATATGTACCAGGGTGATGCCTGGAACATTTTTGGGGGAATTCATGCTTTTTTTTTTTTCGGATCTTCCTATTACCAATCATGAATACATGTGTTCCGTATGGGTATGAATGATGAGGACCACAGGTTTATATGAGCACATAATGATGTGGATGGACAAATCACTCAGTTTCTTCATCTATAAAAATGACAGTGTTAGACTAGTTAACTGGCGAAGGTCCCTCCTGCTCTATCTATTATACCATGTATAACAGATAGGTTGTACTCTATCAGGGATATAAGGGCTAAGCAGGGAGAAAGGAGTGGGCATCCTAGGAGCAGAGAATGTTAGAACTGGAAGGAGTTAAAGGTCACCTAATCCAACCTCATCACTTTAGACACTAAAGCCCATGGGGAGTAAGTGGCTGCCTTGAGGTCACATAGCAAGTGTGTGGTTGTGCTGGGACTAGGCTAGAACCCGAGCTTCCTGCCTCTTGGTTTGTTGCTGTCTTCACCATCCCTGGCTGCTGCTTTATACCTGTGAACTTTTCCACGAGGGCATCCATTTCAGCTTCAATTTCCCGATGCATGGAGTCATTGGTGACGGCCAGTATCCAGAGGAGCAGGTTGGTAGCCATAGTTAGCATCAGTCCGCACCTGGGTGGGGGGAAGCACTTGATAACCTTATCCCTGACCCTGAGCCTCTCAGACTCTAAGCTCCATACTAGGATATCCCATAACCCTTTTCCAGACTGGCCCTGAATCCTCGGCTCCCCTCCCGTACCTGATCGCTTTCCCAACATGCCCTCAAGGAGCTCTTGCTGGGAGTCTAAGAGTGGGAGCCACAGATACTTAAGTGTGGGGAATGACAAGGGAGAGACCCACTGAAGCCATTTCCCAATGAATTCCCCAATTGTAAAACCAGGATAGGTCTTTTGGTAGAGGTATATTGGGCATGGGCTAAAAAGTGGGCTGTGGAGAATGTCTCAAGGGGCTCAGGGAAAAATGGAAGGGGCTTGGGAAGCCCTCCTCACCTGGTAAGATTCATCTGGACCTGAACACAGTCTTTGCTGTGGCTCCATAGCGCATAGGTCTGAAAAGAAGGACTTCAGCTGATGACAGCTTGTGGGGGCAGGGAAGAGACTGGAGATAAGGGAGTGCAAATGTGTGTGCATATGTCTGTGCATGTCAGTACACGTGTGTATGAGGTATCTACATTTAGTTTATGTAAGGGTAAGTGCATAGTAATAATAATCATAGATAACATTCATATAGTGCTTGCTATGTGCCAGGCACTGTGTTAAGCCCTTTACAATTATCATATCTTTTGATCCTCAGAACAACCCTGGGAGGCAGGGGCTATTATGATCCCAGTTTTGCAGATGAGGAAACTAAGGCAATCCTCTGATTAAGTGACTAGCCCAGGGTCATACAGCTAGTAAATGTCCGAGACCAGATTTGAGCTCAGGTCTTCCTGACTCCAGGCCCAGCACTCTGACCACTCTATCCATTGCAAACAATAGCTGGGATTTACATAGTCCTTTTAAGATTTATAAAGCCCTTTACATATACTATCTACTTTTATTTATTTATTTATTAAATAGTATTTTTTTTTTTCCCCAGTTATGTGTCAAGAAAATTTTTAGCATTCCTTTTACTATCTCATATTATCCTTACAAACCATTCATTGAGGTTGGTGCTATTTACAGTCCCCATTTTATAGTTGAGGAAACTGAGTCTGAGAGAGCAGCTAAGTGGCTTGCCTGAGGTCACACATTTAGGAAATGTTGAAGGAGAATCAGAACTGAGGTCTTCCTAACTCCAGTTGTCAGACATGCCACTGGGGAAGTGAATAATGAAATGGAAGGCAGTGAATTCCTGATCCATCTAGGTCTTCCATATTGAAAATTGCTAAACTCAGCTTTGCCGGACTTTAATTCCTGTGCTTTATTCACAGTATTCCCTCCCACCTGCCTATTGGAGCGTGCATGTGTATGAGCAGGAATGAATGATTGTATGTTTGTAGGTATGGGCCTGAGTGCTATGTTAAGCTGTAATAGCTTTAATATTAGAGCTTTAAGCTTTAATAACTTAAAACAGTACTAAGATTTTTGGCATACCCCGTATAAGTGTTTTTAGGTTATGCATTTATAAGGCAGTATGGATATATATGTCAATATTTAGTTTACAAAGGGATGTGAGTATACATAGGAGTATGTGTCTAGGAGTGCATGGGCGTATTTATACCCAAGAATATGTGTAATGTGTAGGTATATATGCACACAAAGGGTGTATGGCTAGTATGTAGTACAGGTTAGCATGTGAGGGCATTTGCCTGCATGATGTCTCCGGCGGGGTGGAGAAGTAGCATCACCTGAAGACTGATGAAGAGAATCTCAATGATGGGGAAGACAATTTCCACCTCAGACTTGCAATGGATGTGACTGATGATGTAGCCAATTCGGAAGACGTTGAGAAGTACGGTGCAGCTACCGAACAACACCAGGGAGCCTGGCCAAAGTGGAACCATCAGAACCTTCTCTGTCCTTTCGCAGCCCTCTCCCCTCACCCGGTGCCTCCCACCTACCTCTTCTAGGGAACAGCATCCCTATCCCTGGACTTATCTGCCTTATCATTCTTCTGTTGGTGCTGAACAAGGATGAGGCACATGCTTACTTACCCTGAACCCAGACAGGCCCAGCGTGGGGATCTTGGTACAGGATAGCGTGTGGCAGGTAGACGGTACCCACCATGTAGTAGAGAAGCCAGAGGAGGGCAAGCACCTTGAGCACCGCCAGCAGGATCCAGACATCACCCAGGGTGATGGCCACGTTGTTGGAGATCATGCTACAGATGAAGGCTCCCCCCAGGAACACCACATTGAGTGCCAGGAGCCCAGAAAAGAGCTGGCTGGTCTTCTGGGCTTGGCGATCTCGACGAAGGAGCAGGGAGAAGTGCCGTTCTAGCCATGACTTGTCCCTTCTGGGACCAGGGCCCCCCAATTCCTTATCTTCCTTAGCTGTAGTCTCGGGGATCCCCTGAGGGTCTTGAGAGGCAGGGAAGGGGCAGTGGAACTTTAATGTGAGTATATACCAAGCTCAATATAACTTTAGATCTGCTGCTAGCTGTTGTCTGGGTAGCGGGGTGGCACAGTAGACAGAGTGCTGGGTCTGCATTCAGACCCATCTTCCTGACCTCAAATCTGACTTTGGACACTTACTAGCTATGTGATCCTGGGCAAGTCACTTAATCCTGTTTGCCTCAGTTTCCTCATCTGTCAAATGAGCTGGAGAAGGAAATGACAAACCACTCTAGTATCTTTGCCGAAGAAAACCCCAAATGAGGTCACAAAGAGTCAGATAGGATAGAACAACTAGCTGTTATCTAGGGTGGAGGTAGGAGAGGAGGCTCCCCTTTCTTGTATCAGTTTATGGATTTCTCTTTTTCCCTCTTCCTGCCTCCCCACCAGCCTCTGATTCCTCAGAAATCAACTTTCACCAACCTAACCAGGTGTCTTCCAGTGGGTGAAGGCCACTTCTGTAATTGTCCCTTACAAAAAAAAATACAGATTACTCCCCACTCCTTTACTGATTTCTCCAAAGGCTCACAGATCTATAGCTTGAGGCTATCAAGTCCAACCGTTTCCTTTTACAGATGAGGAAACTGAGGCAGAGAGAGGTTAAGTAACTTACTTGCCCCTAGTCTCACACTAGTAGGTGTCTAAGGTTGGATTTGAACTTAGGTCTTCCTGACTCCAGCTCCAGTCCTTTATCCATTATGCCACTTCTATGCCAACAACTAGCTGCCTCTCTAAACTTTCAGATACTACAGCCACTGTCCATCTCTTCTCCCACATAGCCTGAGACTTGGCTTTATATATTCTTCCACTCTGATCCTGGTTGACTCCATTCCAGCCCTTTTCCCCATCTGTAGTTAGAGAATCAGGAATTCCTAATCTGACACTGAATTGTTTTACTGACTGAAACATATATTCCTTTTCCTAAGATTTCTACCACTTCTTTATGTTACTCCTTGAGATGCTCCCTGATCCAAGGTATTCAAACCTAACTCCTACTTCTATCTTGCCCCTTCCTCTCCTTTCTCCTCCTCCAGTTCCAATACAATACTACGATTCTCACCCTTCCTTTTGTAACCTTCTCCTCCCCCTTCTGCTCAAATTGAGTTCCTAAGCAATATCTCTTTCTCACCCTCTTCCTCTGCATCCTCTTCTTACCCCATCATTCCCACTTATTCTGGGATCTGGGCTGTCTCAGGGACCCTTAAAGACTTCCCTACTTCAGTAACCCAAGAGTTAGACATGGCAGCTTCAAAATCTTGCCCTTGCCTTGGTTAATTTATTTTATTTTTTTTAGCATACAACACATGTCTGTTTATCTAAGTTATGCAATTGTGTGCACTCTGCCTGTGCATCTAGATTTTAAAATAAACTTGCCCTCTTTAAAGCTGTTAGGTTTTCTTTTCTCCCCATCTTTATCATCTTCTTGCCAGCTTTTAAGCACCATATTCCTGGAGAGTAGCCACAGAGAGGTCCCTGGTGAGTATCCATAGGATCTACAGCTGGAAGTAACCTTAGAGACCCAAACCCCTTGTTTTACAGATGAGGAAACTGAGGCCCAGGAGTGCAAAATTGATTTGCCCAAAGATACCACTATATCTGACACTCAATCTATCAGTGATGTCCAGGACCTAGCACAGAGCAGGCCCTCAATAATCATTCTTATCATTTTCTCCTGGGCTTTCACACCTAAGCAGGTGAGGCCCAAGACATTCATTCTAGTATCTTCTTGCTCCATTTCTTCCAAAACAGGCAACTTCTCCTTGGAAGGATGCTTTCTTTGGAGGTCTTGGGGACTAGTGGTGGTGGAGAGCGGGGTGAAGATAGGAAAATGCAATCCTTGAGCAAAGGTTCTACAAGCCAGCATAGGGGAGATAACTAAAAGGTGAGGAGCTAAGATTCTCTCCCTGGTTGGTGTTTTCTCCAGCTGTCAATGGAATGGGGAGCTTGGGGCTGAGATTAGATGTTTTTCCACTCTCAAAACTCAGGGCTGCAGTGAGTTGAGGCCCCATAAGGTTGGAAGCACCCCCAAACCCAGGAGTCTTCAATTCCTAGGAGATGGCAGCCTTTCAGCTATCGAAGCTGTAGTAGGAGGCCTGAGCAGCGGTGGAAAGGCCACTGGAGAAGGTGCTTTAAGACTGAACAGAAGGAAGTTGAGGTATCAGCTCTGTTCACTACTCTGTATGTTGCAAGGGGAGGGAGGGACCAGATGCTAAACTGGTTTGTGGGTTTGGGTTAGAGAAGCAGGTGATAGAAATCCCCTGGAGCTGTTAGGGAGGGGAAATGGAGGAGGGAGAACACAGACAGGGTAGACTCTGGACCTGGTAGCGATAGAAAGAGGCCAGGGGACATCTGGAGATATGGATAATTGAGTTCTCCAAGGATACATAGAAATAAGGGTCAAAATCACCACAGTCCCCTTCCTACTCCACCCTCTGACTTCCCTTTCCCTAGTGACTTTTGTTCCTCCGGATTTCATCTCCATTCTTGGGGATAGGAACTTTGACTGGGTCTCGGATTCAAGATCTTTCCTCACCTCTTCCAGATGTGGAAGGAGTGGGGAGGCCCTAGGGGATGAAGGGCAGAGAATTCCCCCCTGACCCAGGTAGCGCTGCTCTCTGGATGGTCCTTAGAATCAGTCTGGAAGGTGGCGTTGCCTTGAACGAGGAAAAGTAGTGCGGCAAGGGGCCTCGGTGGGAGAGCTGGAAGTGGCACGGGGCAGTGGGTGCTGGGACCCCTTAAGGGTCTTTCCAGAGTGATCGTGGCTTCTCTCCTCTTCTGGATTCTTTCCCTCTACATCCCTGAAGAATCCCCACCCCTCCCCATGCCTGACTCCGGGTCCCTATTCTTAAGCCTGGCTCTTGGGTCCTTCAGCTTCTTCCAAAGGTCCTGCTCTATACTCTGGGCTAGAGTCCAGTGAGGGAGCAGCCGTGGGCAGATGGCAGAAGGTGGGGAGCTGTATGGGGGTACTGGGCAGGGCCCGAGCTGCCTTACCTGAGACTTGAGCTGTCATCGCTGCGGACTAACAATCAACTGGAAGGAGCTGGGCTGCTCCGTCCAGATGTGTCTCCAGCCTCCCCCTACTATCCCGACCTATATCCCTGGACCCTCTCCCTCGGCTGGACTGCGCACCCACTGGCTCAGTCCCAGCGGCTCATTGATTTTTCCTGTTGACTTTGGAAATCTCATTAATCCCTCGTTAATTATACCGCCCAAGGCTTCTCTGGCCCGGGAAGGGCAGCCAATAGGATCGGGGGCAGGGCCGTCTCAGAGCAAATTGGCAAATGGGCCATGCTGTCGGCCGTGGAGAGGCTGGACCAGAGCCTACGGGGGTCGGAGACGTTTGGCTGACTAGTCAAGGAGTACTGGGCGGGGCTCAAGCCTTCGATTAAGGGAGTCAATGGAGAGGGCGGCAGGGACCCCAGATTTGAGGGGGTCTTCCCAACCCTAGGAGGTATGCGTCCAAGACACCTGACTGGGCCCCGGGAAATAGGACAGGAAGGAAACCGAGGCAAGTTTCCCCCGGGTGCCCAAGACACCTGAGCGCAATTGCTCCAGAAAGCTTCTCGTGGCCCCTTTCTATGTCAGCTTCCCCTGATGCCAAGCCCTGTGCCATCTGCCTGCCACGCAGCAACGATCTTTCTACCCTCAGCTGCCGTATCCAGAGGCCCTTAGCTCCTTCTTCCTCTCTCTGATTTTCCATATCAGACTGAAGGAGAAAATATGGAGTCTAATTCTGACAGTTTGGGCTGTGAGGCTTTCTTTCCTCCTCCCCGATAGAAATCCCCTTGTCTCTCGTGTGAGTCCTTCCCACCCTGTAATTAGAATGTCACTGAACTGCTGAGACTGGTCTTAGTGCTTGCTGACTGAACGTGCTGAACGTTGGGGTTTTTGGGATAGACAGATCAAGAGACTTTCTCCCAAAACAAGTTGAGGAAATCCCCACAATGCTGCTCCCAGAACCCTGTTGATTCCTCTTCTTATCACCCTGAAAATGTCTTAATGAGCTCTAGGGTAGCTAAACTTGAGGGCAGCTGCCTTCCCTATCACTGGTTCTTACCTGGTTTCTTCTTCCCTTCTGGCTCTGTTTGTCTCTGTTATCTCTGTGATTATTGTTGTCTCCAGGAATCATTTTTATTCTCTCCCTAGAACTTCTCATATTGGTATTGGCTTGGCTATAAAGTGTATTGAGGTCTTGGAGGGCTAGTGGATGCTGATATCAGATACTGATGCACTGTTGGTGAAGCTGTGAATTGGTCCAACCATTCTGGAAAGCAATTTAGAATTATGCTAAGAAAGTCGCTAAAATGCCCTTTGGTCCAGAGATCCCACTGCTAGACAAGACATATACCATAAGGAGATCAATGATAAAAAGCCTCATACACACTAAAAGCTGATTTTTTTTTTGAAGGAGCAAGAAACTGGAGGAGGAGATGACCATAGATTGGGGTATGTCTAAGCAAGATGTGTTACATGAATGTAATGGAAAATTCCATACTCCATTATAAAAAATGATTAATATGAATATAGAGAATCATGAGAAGATGTATGTGCACCGATTCAAAGTCATGTAAGAAGAAACAGAAGACACATTCTAGTGGCTCCCATATTATCATCTTATGAGTCAAATATAGACTTCTTTGTTTGACATTTAAAGCCCTTCACAATCTGTTTCTAGCCTAACTTTCCAGGATTATTACACATCACTCCCATTTCATACCCTGTGGCCTAGCCAAACTGGCCTTCTTGCTGTCCATCGCTCACAAAACTGTACCCCAATATTTTCTCCCATCACCTAGTGCCTTCTCCACCAAATACCTATGCACATAGATCTATGTGATCTATGTGTATGTGCAAACCAAACACAAGGTATTTGGTTTATATATATATATGCATATACTATACACTTATATCACATAGACATACATACATGTATTATACACATAGATCACATAGATAAATGTGCATATACTATACATGTATCATATAGATAGATATGTACATATACTATACACATGTACAGTATATGTATGTATACACATATATGTGTATATTTGTATACTTACATATACACACCCACCTGATAGAATACAAGCTTCTTAAGGACAGGGATTATCTCAGCTTTTACTGTTGTCTTTGTATCTCCAGCAACTAATACAATCCCTGGCACATCATAGGAGCTTAATAAATGCTAGCTGATTGAATCACAATGATTATAAGGATTAAATGGGGGACAAACCAACAACAAAACAAAGGAAATTAAATGTGATGAAATTATAATGACCAGGTTTGGCCCCAAGGAAGAGATTTGAGAACATAACACCCCTCCTCCTTTGCAGAGGTAGGGGGTAATGGGTGTTGATCATTACTTCTAATGTTGGACTTGGTTGATAGGATGGTAGTTTTGGTGAACTTTTCTTTCTTAAATTCTTTGTTATAAGGAATATGTTGGGTGATGTAGGTGATATTAAAACAAAAGGTATCAATAAATTGGTTTTTTAAAAATAAGTTATTGGGGACAGTTAAAGAATCACAAGTTTATTTGTTTCCTGGCTCAAAACATAGTGAAGCAAGGGATTCAACAGGTGGGAATGTGGGTGGGTTCTGCAGCCCAGTTTTGGGGAGTTCAAGAACATAGGGAAGGTTATTCTCCACTCACCCCATGTCCAGATTATCTGTTTCAAAGCACTTTGGAGAAATTGAATCAGTTCAGGGGCCTGAGTCTATACTAAAATACAGGTCTTATTGTATAGGGGGGCAAAGTGGGAGAAAAGCAATTTTGACTTCAAAATGATTTAAAGTTAAGGATTTTGACTTTTAAAAAATCCAACTCAAATTGGGGATCTCCAAGGTTTTGTTAACCCCCCCATTCTTCCAGTTATCAGTCATCAGCTTAGTTTTTTAGGAGGGTCCCTTGGGCAAGTGAAGCGGGGAATGGGAGAACTGGGTAAGGAGGCAATTAGACTTGGGTGGAATTGAGGAAATGGGTATAAGGTCCCCTATCCATCTCCTGGAGTTAAAACTACCTTACAAAGAGTTGTCTTTTCCCTTCCTGGGAAGAATATGGACACCAGTCGATGTTGTCCATCAGCTTGCGCTGGGCTATAGAAATCTTTTGGTGAAGTACAAAGGCTCATGGGGGAAGGGGCAGCATCAGGACAAGACATAGACCTCCAGCAAGCTGGAGACGGCGTGCATTCGGTAGAAGATTCCGAAGGGAAGGCAGATGTTGACAATGGCTGCCCACAGGGAGTAGCCATAGAAATCCAGTTCCAGGTTGTTGTTGAACTGAGGTCGGGCACCAAAGGCAGGCATGACCCAGAGCTAAGGAGAGAGTGGGAATGGATGGGTAGGTGGGTGGGTGAGCGTCCAGCAATATGGTAGAACCCAAGTCACTTTCAGGGATTTGGCTCACCTACTCACCCCTTCCACACATTTTGTAGGACTGTTACCTTAGTTTTATAGAATGTTTGAGCTGGAAGTGACTTTAGAGCTCCTCTATTCAATTCCCCTCATTTTACAGCTGAAGAAATTGAAAGATTAAGTGACTTGCCCAAGGTCAGGTTGAGTCAGAATTAAAATCCAAATCTTCTGACTATTGTTTTTTTGTGCCATATTGATTTGTGGTTTTTTTAAGCAATACTAGATTCCTTTAGTTCTAGTCACTACTCAAGAAACATTTACATAGATGTATGCACACACACACACACACACACACACACCTCTAACTCCGACGGAGTCAGCCAGTGGTTATACTTATCACACCCTCAGCCTGGCCCTACCCAACTGAAACTGCCTGAGTGCTGAAGGGTGGAAACAAAGAAACCGTGGATGTGATAGGAGGAAGGTATTTCTTCATATTTAAGTACCAGATTTTATTTTTCTCCCAAGTAAAATGGGGAGGGGACTATGAGGTTGTAGTGGAGTGGAGTTCTCAATGATCTCTAAGGGCACTTCCACTGAAGATGATGCATCACCATCTGCTTTACTGTAGTGCCCTAAGGACATCTTTCCATCCTACTTATAGCTAAAACTTTCTATATTGTGTTGCCTCTCCCACTAGAATGGGAACTTCTTGAGGGCAGCACTAGGAAAGTCTTAATTTTCTATTTAGGTAAAGATAAAGCACTTATAAGTGCTTACTATGTGCCAGGCACCATAATAAGTCCTGGGAATATAAATACAAGCAAAATTTTGTATTCTCAAGCACTTACAGTGCTTTGAACATAGGAAGGAGCTAATAAATACCTTTAATTCATTCAGCCATTCTAGCTCTGAATCCTGTTTATTGTATGGTACAGAGAATTAGAGAAATAAATTTGAAGTCAGACACCCTAGATTTGAATCCTGGCTCTGCCACTTAATACCCACATAACCTTTGGAAAATTGTTTAACATTTCTGGCCATGTTTCTTCGCCTGTTAACTAAGAGAGTTGGATTAGGTGTTCTCTAAGGTTCTCCTAACCTATGCTGTATAACATATACAGTATGAGTAAATAAACAAATCTGCTATCTAAACATTTTTGTGAGACATCTACACACTGAGGTACTGAGCGCTGATGAGAGATGAGGGAAGGCCACACCCAGATGGCAGGGGCTGGGCTAGAGGACTCCGGCAAGATTCTCCTCACCTGTCCTCTTGGCTGACCCAGAGTCCTCCCTGCCAGACCATTCTGTCTTATCTCTCTGTTACCTCTCTTCTTTGCCAGGCTGAGGGAGAACTAAAGGAAAACTGGGAACCAAGCTACAGTTCAGCTGCCCCAGGCAAAAGCAGCTCGTAATCTGTTCTGGAATAGGGTGCTTGTGTCTGCAGATAGGTACCCAGGATCCTGGGTCAGTTAGTGAATTAGTTCTTAGTGGAACTCATGTCTGAACTATAGTGACTGGGGAGGTATGTGAAAGGGGGAAGGGATATCAGATAAATCCTTAGATACATAGTAAACCCAGATCAGTGCATGGCTAAAGTATCAGCTCTTGCCCTTTGATGAATGAGAGCAGAGATCTAGAGATGCTTCAGTTTTAAAGAATCTACCCCCTGTTCTGGAGGAGTTTCAGTACAGATGGTATATTTACAGAGAGTTTTACTTCTATTGGAGATGTTTCTAAAGTGGGG